CTTCCCCAATTCCCCAATAAAATGCTTAAAAACAACAACAACAACAAAAACACAGCTCTTGCTTTCTTTGATCTTTTGTATTGTTTTTCTGGCCTCTATTTTTTTATTTCCACTCTGGTCTTTATTATCTCCTTCCTTGTACTCCCTTTGGGCTTATTTTGCTGTTCTTTTTCCAATTTCCTGAGGTGTAAGGATAACCTGTTGATTTGAGATTTTTCTTCTTTAGGTAGGCCTGCACTGCTATGAACTTCCCTCTGAGGACTGCTTTTGCTGCATCCCAACGATTTGGGGTCTTGGTGTTTTCATTTTCGTTTGTCTTGAGGTATCTTTTGATTTCATCCTTGATCTCAGTTTTGACCCACTCACTATTTAGTAGCATCCTATTCAGCCTCCATGTATTTGTGTGCTTTCCAGATTTCTTCTTATAATTGATTTCTAGTTTCATAGCACTCTGGACAGAGAAGACACTTGATATGATTTCAGTTTTCTTAAATTTCTTGAGATTTATTTTGTGGTGTAACATGTGGTCTATCTTGGAAAATGTTCCATGTGCACTTGAGAAGAATGTATATTCCGTAGCTTTGGGGTGAAATGCTCTGAAAATATCAGTTAAAGCCAGCTGGTTTAATGTGTCATTTAAGTCCACTGTTTCTGCATTGATTTTCTGTCTGGAGGATCTGTCCATTGATGACAATTGGGTGTTGAAGTCCCCTACTATGATAGTGTTACTGTTGATCTCTGTCTTTATGTCTGTCAATATCTGTTTTATATATTTAGGAGCTCCTATGTTGGGTGCATAGGTGTTTTACTACGGTTATGTCCTGTTGTTGGATCGATCCCTTTATTATATGTAGTGCCCTTCTTTGTCCTTTATTATGTTCTTCAATTTAAAGTCTATTTTGTCTGATATAAGTATAGCTACTCCAGCTTTTTTCTCATTTCCATTTGCATGAAATATTTTACCCCATCTCTTTACTTTCAGCCTGTTTGTGTCTTTTGATCTGAGGTGAGTCTCTTATATACAGCATATGCAAAGATCTTGCTTTCTTATCCATTCAGCCAGCCATCCTATGTCTTTTGACTGGAGCATTTAATCCATTTACATTTAACGTCATTATTGATAGGTGCATAGTTATTGCCATTATGTTATTTGTGTTTCTGGTCTTTTAGTTAGATTGTTTTTCTCTTTCTTCTGCCTAAAGAAGCTCTTTTAGCATTTCCTGCAATGCTGGCTTGGTGGTAATGAATTCCTTTAGCTTATTCTTTTCTGGGAAGCTCTTTATCTCTCCTTCAACTTTAAATGATAACCTTGCTGGATAAAGCAATCTAGGTTGTAGGCCTTTGTTTTTCATCACTTTGAA